TGAAAACTGAAACGGAATCAAACAAATAAATGGATATGGAAACGAGAAATCACCCGATTGGGTTAAAGGTTGTCCCCTCCTTCATCATTTAATGAATCCCATCATCAAAGTATTTATCATTAAATGAGTTTAAGTCAAGTAAATTTGAAATAGATGAAAAAAATTCATTTCAGTTTATTTGATGTGAAGGAGAGCGGAAGAACAGAAGATTCTGAACGTTAGGAATTATTATTTTTGGGCTCCTCCGCCCTACTTACATTTATTGACATTGGCCTTTACTTTGGACATTTAATAGTTTGGTTTTGGTAAAAGCTAATTAATGCAGCTGTCGCAGAATTAGCTTTTATTTTTCGGTTGTCTTCTATAAGCATATTAAATAGGGATTTCTAGTAGTAACTGCTCTTCTATGTAATCTGCTCAACATTGGCTCAGCCGGAAGTGCAGAACATTGAGAGGGCCAACTAGGCCACGATGGTGCACTGGATAGGAGCGAGAATATAGTAACTTTCGGCTGACAAGTCAAGGAGGAGCAGACAATCCGATGCTTCAGAAAGAGAGTGAGAGATAATGTATGCGACTGGGATGTACTCAGCATTTAATCATGGATTAGACGGAAAGTTTTCCCTGTACAACCCCCTTATAATGAGTTCTGAGACCAAGAACTCTCGAGGCTTTACAATGACTTTGACAGGAGTGGATGAACGCCAGGGACAGGGAAGGATAAAACAACTTTGGCTCTGCAAGTTTTTGGGTTCTAAAAGTTTTTCGTTTATCTCTTTCTTGTCCCAATGCCAATGCCAGTGCCATCAGCCAATCCCAATGCCGTGTGCAGTTTTGCTTGTTGCCCTTAATTATGCCGTTGTTTGCCTTAAATTGGAAAACTGCAGACACTCCAAATAGTCCAACAGAGCAGCTTCCAGATCCTTTGTTCGAGGGGCGACCTCGTTGAGTCTGCCTTCTTTTGTTTTTTCTCGCTAACTATTTTCCATCAGCTTCAATTATTTTCTGCCAATTGGATTAAAAGGAAAATGGAAATTTAATTGAATTTTCGGCCATTGTATTGATTCGTTTCAGATCCCACTCAGTATTAAGCATATGCATGGCATACATCCTATTTATTTATTTATTATAGGACATCAGAGTCTCCGAATCATTTGCAGCGTAACCACGTGCAGAGAATTCCGCAAAATCATTGCGCAATCGTTTATTAGCAGGCAGAGCAGAGGCCAAAGTGAAGTCAGCGGGAGGGAGAGCATCTCATCAAGTCAAGTTACCACTTCCGCACTTGACGGAGGTTTAGCCTCACTGAAATCGAATTACCCCTTAGATGCTTGTATGGGTGGCTTTCACATCAAGTTGGAATCATGATATTTTCTATGAAAGAAAATACTTCGCTTAAAAGTTTTCAGTATTAAGTCTGCATCGAAGCTTTAAAGTACACTCTCAAAGTTAAACTTTCTTGATAGTGCACCGTTAAATGAGCCATCAAGGTTCACAATTTTAATGCTCTTATCTCATCCATTCGGAAAAATATGCTGGTTACTGAACAGTGCGAGAATGGCCATCCAGTAATAATGAATTGCATTGTTGCCGTGGATTCATACGGCATTTATTTATTATTTATTTAATTTATTATTTATGCATTGTTTGTTTATTTGCTAAATTTTTTATTGCCCAATTATATCGAGTCCTTTGCTCGACCAATAACCAATGTGATAAATGCCTTGCCAATGGAGACTATTCTACGAAGTCATCAAGACATCAGTCGCAATAATTAACCAGACATGTGAAGCAAGAACCGGTTCAGCCAAAATCAGTTGACATCGAACTGTGCTGGAGAGGCTCCAGTCAAAGCCAGGGAGGTGGATAAATCAGAGTCAAAACGATAAATGACCAACCATTCATGCAGGAATCACATTGTTGTCTTGATTGATATAAATGGCACACACGAACACAGCATGCGTCTAAATACAAGTATATATGTACATGGAAAAGAATAATGTCTGGATATAAGCAATATAAACGGGCCATGAATTTGTTTCGGTAGCTGTAAATCCAAATTCAATGACGGTCTCGACAGGAAAGGAACGGATAGGAACGCATAGGAAGCTATACAATGCTTTCATATATCACCGCCCATTCTCAGCATAGCCGATTTAATGAGTACAGTGTACACATCTTAATTCTGGTTTAATTCTGGTTAGTTTTCCCAAAAACATATGCTATTAATTGATGACCAGTCGTTCCCTGAACTTGCTCTAAAATCGGTGCAATTCCTTAGAGTTGTATTCGCACCACCCGCTTGAGTCCAACAGTCGATTCATAAATATTTGTCAATGTAATTATTTTTTCGCTCGTTCGTCCGTTGAAAATCCGCTTAATAATTCAAATAAATTTAAATTAAAATACGCTCTGGCAGACCGACAGAATTTTCTGCCATATTTATAAACATAGGCAAACTTTGGGGGTTGAAAACGGCAGGGACCATCCGGGGATGATGGGAATTGGGGGTCTGGTTTGTTTTGCTGGTGGTCTGGTCTGTCTGGTGGTGTTTTGAGTCTGATTGACCGTATCACAGTATCTCCGAGTATCCCCGCTCGTCCATTGGGGGTTTCGCATTGAATGTTACAATCCCCATCACAGGCACAGGCACAGAGATAGACACAGGCACAGTCCTACTCCTAGTCCCATTGCTGGTTGCTGTTCTTTTATAATTAAAAAATTTTGAAGTCGATTGCGTTTACAATCCGATGGCGTCGCTGGGGCGCTTCTCTCGTATTTCACTGGTAAATCAAATTTGAATGTTTGAGTGGTCCTCAAATTGACTGCCTACCTTCCCCACCTGTCTGTCCCTCATGCACCCCACGAACCGTATCGAACACACGAAACACAAAAATGTCGAAGGGCCTCCCTCATTGAGAATTGGCATTGGAATCTGTATTTTTTGGGCTTTGTCCGTATTTTTAATGTTATTTAAATACTTAATAAATCCGTTCTTTAAGTTCGGTTTCAAGTGGCCCCAAAGTGGCGAGAAAGGTGGGAGGAAGGGCGCTTCGAAGGGGAAATGGTCCCTAAATAGTCCGATGGAATTTGAACGATAGCAAAAACCTTACGGGCCTAACAACTAACATAAGTAGAAACTACGGTTTGGTTAGTGGTAAACCCAAAGATCGCGTAAAGCATCTGCTTAGTAAAATTGTTTCATCAGTGGTTATTCCCCGTATTGGATTTATAATTCAGCTATTAATAATTCATCTATTCAATGAGGTGCCCGTATCCAGAGTGGAAGCGGTCGATTCCTGCTCAAATTCAGCTGTTCAACTGTTCTCTCTCTAGCTCTCTTCCACTTTGTTTGCTTTCTCTCTGTCTCCATCTGTCAGCTCACAGGACGAGTATTACAAAATATTACGTTTGGAATGTTTGCCCAGAGGTTACAGCAGCAGCTCTCCCCTAACCCCTATTTTTCCGTCTCTTCCTGCTCCTGTGAGCAAAAGCTCTCACACAGAGAAAGAGAATAACAGAGAAAGGAAAGGAAGAGCACGCAGCTCCACGGAACATTGTTGGAGCTTGTCAATTTTCATTTTCATCGCGGGAACAACCAAAGAGAAATTTAAATAAGGAGCTTTTTCCATGCCACTTTTTATACCCGTACTCGAAGAGCTAAGGGGTATATTGTATTTGTGGTGGAAGTGGATGTGTGCAGCGCAGAGAAGGAAACGGAACCATTTCCGGCCCCATAAAGTGTATATATTCTTGATCAGCATCAATATCGGACTCGAGATAGCCAAGTATGCTGTGGGTTGGAATGTGTGTGTCGGAGGGAACTTTGGATTTTTGGCTAACTACAATCTCCCTACGCTTTGATAAAGTGGGTGTTGGGTAGATGCAGACCGATGTGCAGATCATAGATCATAAATCGTAGCAAATCGCCTTCGGAGGCTATTAATAGACGCTCAGTATTGGCATTTTTGGCATTGGACAAAGTCACACTCGCCCTTACACAAAAGACATACACACACTTATACTTACACACACGTGTGCACACTGTAGACTACTAAATTACACACTCACATATATGTACATGCATATTTTGTGCGTGTGGGTGGGCGTCAAGCCAATTGCCAGCCAGCTCCCTGGCGCCAGTGAAGTCAGTGAATTTTCCTAGAGACGGTAACGTGGGGTTACACGATTCGGTTTGCTTGGATGGACTGACGGACTAACGGCCGAACAGACATACGGACATGCCGAAACGAATTCGAAGGAACTGCTATACTTGGAAGAACAATTTAATGGGCGAGAGACAAACAGCTGCGAGAGAAAAGTCGGGACGAATTATTTCCCGATTTTCACGCTCTCATCTCTAGATCGAAATTCTCTCTCATTATTATGGTGTCATCTTGCCCACACAGTCACGAACAGAACAAAAAAAAAAGAAAGGAAATCTTTAAGGGCCAAAAGGAAAGAACGAAACAAAAATCGTTTCCCTTTTGTGATTTTGATGTGCCTAATGCTTAATAACAATTTCATTTACATTTTCGGCACATTTCACTACTGTTGACGCGCCAGCTCAATAACCATAATCCAACCCAATAGGTATTTTTACAAGCCTCCTTGGTGGAGGGGAAACTCTCGCTATTGTTTTGCAACCTAGAAAGGGTTTTTTTAAACACATTTTACACATTTTTGGTTTTCATTTTGAATTCAATTGAGTTAATTGAGCCATTTTTATAGAGTTTAGGGGTGTTTTTTGTATGTTTTTCCTGTCCCACAGGACAGTCGCTTTGGCTCGTAATTTCTATCTGAAACGTAGCTAAATAAACGAAATAATGAGCAAGGACTAATAAAAACGTGAAAGGGAAATGAAAACAAATAAAGAGACAGGTTAACTCTGGCACCTTGGGACTTTCATTAACAATTCTTTTGTATTTTTTGGTTTATGAAATTTTATGGTTTATGACGATGTGTTCAGTACAAAGGTCTAACAGACACCTTTGTACTGAACATCATTCGGGGGAAATAGCATTTATCTAGAATCTTTATTAAGTTCATCTCATAAGATACTGTACAAAGCCGTTCGAAAAAACTAAACTTGGACTTCTGAAAGATTCTGTAATATTAACAAAACAAAAAAAAACTGTTTCCTAATTTAGTTTAAATTTAAAAAGCTCATTGTAGTCTTCAAAGATTAAGAGATCAGAATCTAGAAGGGCTTCTTTTCAATGGTAAGGATTAGTTCCCAAACGATTTCGACCATGCCATATGTGACAAAGTTCAGCTTGTACCAGCCATCGGGCACGTACTGGGGAAATCCATCGGTACTAACCTGGCACTTTTCGTATTTGAATGTCTGCGCCTCGATCACCTTAAGTTTTTCGGTGAACTGGGGGAAATTCGAGCAGTTGGCGGCACTTTCCATGATCATATCCTTGTAGAAGCTGTTCATGGCCTCATAGATTCCCTGGCGTGGCAGCGAATACGGCTGCAGCTTATAGTTGGCGCCCCCATCCGTGCTTCGAAAGCAAAGAACTTCCACCTCCAGGTCTTGGGGCACCGGCACTGAAATAGCCAACGATCCACTCAAGCCAAAGTCGCTACGCCCCATGCGTTCGATGCGCGTGTCGAGCTTGACGATGTTCTCGTTGTTGCTTCGACAGCTGGTTTCATGAAGCGTGTAGGTCCACGACTTCTACAATACTGATTTTGTGATCAACAGTTTTGCGATTAGTTCCCTGGAACTTACCGCCTTGGTGTTCAGCGACGCCGCCAGCGAAATGCTGACAGTCAATAGAGTGAAGCCTGTGCAGTACATGGCTATGACTGTGGCTATGGTTGTACCTCTGATAAATTTTCCTAAACTGTGTTCGTACTGAATTCCAGTTCCAGTCCAATTTATACTTTTTAAACTTCTCGCAGATCATGCGATGGCTGTGTCGTGTTCATGGCTTGTCCGCGGCCAGCCGAATGATGTTTACAAGCAATGATACTGTGACAATTAATTTAATATAGTTTATTTAATTTGAATTTGAATTCGCAAGTAACTGATTAGTGTGGTCGCGATCAGAGGGTTTTAAGCTATCCAATGGCTGTAATAGTGCCTTCCCTTTAGATTTTTGTATTTACTCCAAAGCTACGCATATGAAATATTAAATTAGTATTCATTTTAATTTAACAAAGATGCTGATAAGATAAACAATCGGTTTTCAATTTTATGTTGTGCCGGCTCATGGATTGCACTATACGATGGACAAGTTTAACATCTCTCAAAAATTATGAATTCTTATTTAATCATTCGATTTGTTTCAACTTCCGTTTGACAATAGTTGAATCTCTAATACACCTATGGCGACCAGGCGACCAGGCGACCACAATTAAAAATCATCTATTTTCCGATTGGATTTGACACCATTGCCAATGCAATTAAGCTTGTGCCCTTTTTTTAAATAGTTTTTATTTAAACCAACCTTAACGCCTTTACCGAATTAAAATTAATCAATTATACAACTGCTTCTTGTCTTCTCTCGCTGCAGATTTGTAAGAGCAGCCTAGTTCAAGATGCGTCGATCCTCATTCACGCCTGTCTTCAACCTCAGCACCCAGGAGCCGCTAATTGTCGTCGAGGAGTCGCATGCACCCGAAGATGGCGACGATTTGGATGGCGCCGCTGGCGGCTGCGATCCGGGCGCCACCACCAGGCGGACGAATAGCGACGACTCTGATCCGGACTCGCCGGTGAATCCGTATCTGCTATGCCCCTTCCCTGACATGCAGCAGCGCCGCAAGCATTCGCTGCCATCGTTGCAGATAACCGAAGGGATCACGGCCAGCCAGGTGCGTCGGCTGTCAGAGGTGGGCGGCGAGACCGGTGGCCTTAGTCCCAAGGAGGTGGAATTTTTGGCAACGCTCTCGCAGAAGGCAAATCCCGCGGCCGGAGGGCGGCGTCACTCGGTGGTCACAATCTCGGCCGTGCCCCCGACGCTCTTTGGACGCAATCGTCGCGAATCCATTTCCGGTGCTTCGATCAGGTAATTTTACCATTTGGTCAGCTAAATTGGAAGGCCAGGACCCATTAGCGAGCGTAATTCAGGGATCAAGCGCAGCAGGGGACGACCCAGCCGGCAATGGACACGAGACCACAGCTTCCGCAATTTTTTGTGCTACCTCTCTATCTATCCCCCTCGTCTCTTTCTCTTCTGCTCTGGCTTTGGGGTTTTTGGCTCCATGTTCCTGGCCTAATTGAATTCTGCTGCCGGCTGTTTTGAAGCTCTTGTGCTGTGACAGCAAAATGCTGGTACACTACCCTAATGGGGCTGCTATCTGCATGCATGGAAGGGGATGCTCAGTAAGGGTAGAAGCCAGTGGTAAGAAAGGTGGAGTTGCTGCAGGCATATTGACAATATCATAAAGTGGGCCTGACCAGTGCCAAATGAAATTACAATCCAAATTATGATCCAGCAGTCGATTTGGAAATGAATTCACCGAAATGTCAGTAAAATTCCATTTGGTTGTAGTTGGTACTTCCGCTGTTTAAGATAACTCACAATTCGACTTCTAACCTTGCGACTTGACTTTGTACGAATTCTGCCTGCCCGTGGTGGGCATTTAAATTGCAGCCCTCTGCGCCACTTGACCGGAAAATTTTTCCGTGTCACGTGTCCATTAAACGCTCAACGCACTTTACGAACCCCTGTACAGATGGCCATAGAAACAAAGTGCACGACGAAAGCGAAAAAGTGGGAAAAGCGGGTGGGTATAATTTTGTAATTTATGCTAAAGTGATAACCGCAGACCCACCAGCCACCAGCCAACAGCCTCTAACTCTAAGTCTCTCTCTCCATACACTGAGAAAAACAGCGCCATTTCTTATTTCTCATTTCTAATGTAAACACTAAATAACTTTAAATAACATAAATTTATGTGGACGGACAATTTGCCATTTTTTCATTATATTTATTACATATTTGTCTTGCTTTGCAGTGGCAGTCGCCGGGGAAGCGTCATCGCCGGGCCCCCTTTGACTGATCACCGCGGCAGCGTACACAACTTGCAGCTGGATATAATGGACGGGATTGTTCAGCAGCGGAAGACGCGCAGCGGTAGTGGAGTATGGACTGCGCCGGTACTCCAGGAGGCTGACAGCAATGTTCCCGTGCAGACATAAGCGGCCAACGGACAGCGGACGCGGACACGGAAACAGACACGGACACGGACGCAGATACCAGGGCGATATGGAGAGTGGTAGGGTGGGATGGTTGGATGGTCGGACACTGAGCAATATAAACACACAAGGACAAACAAACAAACACACGAATGAACATTCTGGAACTCTGCTACTCGAACTGGACCTTCATTAACATTTCTGGTATTCCTTCTCTCTCTCTCTCTCCATCCCACACAAGCTGTATTTCTGTGCGGTCTTCTTCTTTCTCTGGGAAATTGGTTTTCGTGGCTGGCGCATCATGCGAGCAAACAAACCGCGAAAACCGGTCAAACCCAAAAAGAAAAACTGGTGAAAAAAGTTCCAAAATGAAAAACTGCAGTTAAATAGAAAAAAGAGTGTACTAGACAGAGAGAAAACGAGAGAAAGAGAGAGAGAAAGAGAGAGCAGGTTTAAATGGACAGAAATCGTAAAAACACAAAACGAAAACAAAAATGAGAAAAAAGCCCCATTGCCGCAATTTCGGTTAACACCTGTACAATGTGCCACGTCTAGGTATCCTCCGCCACTCCTGAATTATAGCAGACTTAGCTTAAAAACTGTCCAAAATAAAGGAACTATGGAAACGTCAGCCCCTAACCGAAACTACTCTAAAACTGAAATAAAAACACATTCCATTTGAGTGTTAAAAACGAAATAAAGAGCAGCAATTTGAAGCCATTCGATACAAAAGCGATTTATGGACTGACATGAACTATCTATCAAGGTGAGTTTCGGTGCGAGCAATTAACTGCAATAAGTGAAAAAAACGTAGACATGTTTGTTGTTGCTCCAATTTTATTTTTGTTTGAAATTAAGTATGTGTAATTTTTAAATGCTTTCCATTATTAATAGCAGTTCGTTCGTTTTTGTTTTTCTTCTAAGGGACTGTCGGTAATCCGATGGTGTATGTCTATTTTTTTAATTATCTAATTTTATTTTATTTTTTCATGCATTGTCAATGTTCTGTGTACACCTTTTATGAACCCGTTGCTGGAACGTTGCACATAAAAAATGCAACCTTGTCCCAAGGACATGCACGACTGGGTGGTGGGTTGGCTACGAAATCGGGCCAAGGACGACAGCGGCAACAAGCGAGCAAGCACCATGACTGCTTAACTGCTTGGCTATAAGCATCCACTGGCCACATTCCTTTAAACTTTTTTCTTTTCCGGCTGCCACGTGGCGGATGAGTAATTTCCTGCAAAAACAGCTGCATCAATGACAATGCCAATGACAACGCCGAGGCCAAAGTTTCGAACTCTAGCGTGTTTTTAATGTCTAGTCCACGTCCACTGACTGATTTCACGTTCAGCCTCCCCCAGCTTCAACTCCTGGATCAATTTGCTGTTCAGTAAAGCTAATTTAATGGGGTCGGCTGCTTTTAATTGAAACGTTTGCATGACGCAACAAGCGGCTTTGTCAGCCTAAAGCAAACTATCAGAAATCAAAGTGCAATATAAATAGCGCACAGTTTTGCTCATTGCCGTTGGCCAGGCTGGAAATGCCTCTTTGATATGGCCTAAAAACATTTAAACCTCTGTTAAGCGAACACACTCAGAGAAGCAATTAGGGAAAACAATTAGCTGTCCCGAGCCTTCTTGGACATCACAATGCTGTTTCTCATCAGCATGTCATATGTATATTTAGTCATACTAATAGTCCATGTCATAAATAATTCCTCACCAACTCCATGTAATTATGTGGCTTAATAATGTATAAATTTGAGTTATATATATATAACATATTTTTTAAAATAATTACGCTGAAAAATATTTCATTTATCCATTTACACACAGATTCGCGCAGCAATTCATATAAGCTAAAAATAATGGACTAAAATAACAAATATTTAACCAATAACTTATGATATAAAATTAAATTAAATCAATATATTGTATATTCAGGAATTGATAAATTAGTAAAAAAACGTAGTGAGAAACCTAAACCAGAAAGACAAACATTTATTTACTTAGAATTTAGCAACAACTATTCATTTATTTGATGTTGTGTAAATTTGTGAACCATCGCCTGGATAAAACCACCAATTACGAATATGAAAATGAAAAGTACTAAGCCAAGCCCACAGACTATATACAATCTACGGAATTGACCCCAATTCAATTCAATCAAAACGTGGAAATCCTCAGGTGTTTTTTGATCTTTTATAATTTTTCCACCTCAAATATTCTTCGTTTGATTCAATCAACAAGAGCAATCAAAATTCAAGAGAGTTGACAAATGTACCATGTACCTACAAACATGAAAACCACAAACATAACTTTAAAAAATCCGTTAAGTAAAACTATAAAATATATAGTAAAAATTTCTAGTCTAAGATGAATATATGTATGTATGCACGGTTAAGCAGCAATTACTCTGGAAATGTTAATATTATTGAACTTGGCTCGCTGCTTGCCCGGCCCAGCAACGCAGCCAGTCTTTAGTTCGAGTCACGATTCCTAGCCTTAGTCCCCCTCCTCCTCTCGTTCCTCTAATTTCCATCCAGCTTAAAACACACTCCAAAATACCATGAAAAGAGCAGAAACGAAAACGTTGTGAAGCGCTTCTGTGGACCAGATCCATCGGAAATATGATATATATGGTCACTTTTGCGTTTTCTCGTATCTTCAAAATTGTGGATGCCATAGATTTTCGTCCTTTATGGGGGCGTAACTCTTGTAGTACGGGTATAGTAAGTAACAACTTATAAAGCTTCTGGAACCTTTCTGCTTAATTTCGATTCGGATAGAAAATATATTAAAAAAAAACGAAATGCAACCTAGAAAAGAATTTAGCCCTAAGCGCAAGTTGAACAGAATGATGCCACAGTGGCTAAGGCGGAGGCGTTTTATTTTACACAATTCTTGGTGTTGTTATTTCTTACATAGCATGTCTTAGCGGAGATAAATTCGTATGGAACGTACCTCTTATCGTTATAAGCTCTAGACTGTACATAGAAATTTGCTTCTCTAAAGAGAGGAAATAGAATTTCGGTTTTCGTTCATAAACAAGTAAGGAAAATGTTGGCAATATCTTCCGAACAGTAAAACCCCATAAAAAAAGAAGCGAAGAATATATTCCCAAAATCATTTACGTCTCTTTAACCTATTTGACTTGATGAAAAAATGTCGCTGGACGACGAAGAAAAAGAAATATATATATCTAAATATATGGAATAAAAAGAATACTAGACAATTTTTTTTATTATTAAACGTAGTCAATGATAATCAACAATCAAGAAAGAAGGAAGGTTGATTAAAAGAAACCGAAAAAGTGAGGCGGAAGAATAAAATACAAAAATGATGAAGACGATATATTTATTGAATGAACTATACGTTTACATACATATTGACAAATCGATTATATAGTAAATTATTGTCACAACGCAAGAGCAATCAATGTTTAAATTAATTAAATGTTACAAAGAGTTTTAAATATGAAATATACAAAAAAATATATACGCAATATATATATACATATATACATATATATGTACATGAATACGCATATATGTATACATAAACATATGCATAAATCGAAGATTAAACTCAAATGATAATTTGTCGGTAACAAAAATTATAACATACTAAAAAATTCCCCGTAGCTCTCTGATGTGGAAAATGAATTGGTGTCAGCCATAGGGATTCGCTTTTGAATAATTCTCATCACATTACATTAAATGGATGACAGAAGAGTGAAGAACAAAGTCAACTCAACTTACTATGAAAGTACATTATCCTTCCAGAAACTGTACTCTAAATCGGATTTGATTTCCTTTTAATTCAGACATAGATAAGTTGTATTACATTCCAGCTGTGTTTCAGCCATGCAACTGTTTTACATCAGCGGACAGTTTGGTTTTAAAAATGGATTTGAATCATTTTAACTTTAGCTAAAAATAGCTTGAAGATAAAATCTCTTTAGTTTTTTTGGTTCTGCCGCAGACATATTCAATCTCAAGGTTACATCATATTGTCCAGTAAAGGCTCATCAGTTGAATACCAGGTATATGTACATAATTTTGTACCAGAATACACAGGTCGAACATCAATTAAACATCATTTCGACTCCATTAGACGCTTATTCACTTCTGCGGTAAACGTCCATAAATATGTGCATGCATACATATGTATGTATGTACATCTCATGTGAATCAGGCTTTGCGATCCTAACGGTTGGCACTCTTTAAAGAATTTTTGTTTTTCGTTAAATGAAAAAAGAGTCAGTTTTGTCTTAGTAATAATTCACATCTTTGTGTATCTGTCTATCTTAATTGTGTACCAAATATTATGACTAATAAAAGAAGAAAAATCGCAAAGAGCAAGTGAACAAGAGAAGCAGCTATGAACAGAGAATGGTATACCCAACAAAACTAAACTTAATTATTATAAAGATTACTTATAGTAGACGTAAGCGAGCGCCAATTGAGGCATCATCTGCATACACAATTAAATAAAGAAAACGATTTCCTTAAATTAACAGTCGTCTAACATTAATTCGAAGCTTAAAACCTCACAAACTTTATATAACATAAAGCTTTGCATGTTATCGTTTGAAACCGGTTTAAGCTTTCAAGTGAAAGCTTGCTCATGAATCAAAAGTTTGAATACAACAAAATCAGCTTTATCGCTTGTTTCAAACGCTACTCACAAACTTTTGAAAATAATTAAGCTTTTGCTGAAGCTTTTACATCCGAGCTTACAGCTTAAATAGAGCACGACAAGTTTGAGAACTACTGAGGTTGGAAGAAGGGGAATATTAGGCTCTGGCTCTGAATAGCAATTCTTTCTACCAACCACAATAATCGGATGGAGTGGGAAGCTCACTAGAGGCAATTCAATATAAAGTAACTATTCTTTTAATATCCACATAGTAAAGGAAATAGTAAATGAATCCCTTCCAGATCTCGGATAGAGCTCATTCATCATCAGCTTCATCGGCCAATTGATGTCAAGGTGGAGAGCTTAGGCTTGTCCCAGTAGCCGGTCTGCAGTTCGATCTCCAGCGCCGGGATAGGGTTATGGAAAAAAAAGCTTTATATTTGAGCCAGAAAACACAGTGCAGATAGTAGTGTAGTTATGGGTCTAACATTAGCCCCGCCATAAGCACCATGTGTGCAGTGAGATATATATTCCAGCATTCCATAAAAATCGGATGCGAAACCCAAACCCCTTCGGATGTTGGCGCGGACGACACCCCTGGGCGAGCGTGTTGCAATACGTGTTGTGTGCAGCATAGCATGTTGCATGATGTGCTTTTGTCTCGGACAATTGTTGCTGATGTTGCCAGTCATGGTTCGACGTTGTTGCGTCTCTATGTTGGAGCGCATTCTTCTGGCTCTCTCTCTCTCTTGGTCACAATTAAGAGTTTGCGAGAGCAACTTGTTGATTTTATTGTTATCTCAATAAAGTGAAGTTGAGCCCATCGCATGCAGCGTGCTCGACAGCGAGCCTGGTATGATGGCACCCACTCGCAGAGTTAAAACTCCTACAGGTTGGTTTACAACAACTTGGCTTGGCCAACAAAAACTCTGTGGCCTGGGGGATGTGAGTCATGGCATGACCTACGCCAATCAACACTACTGCCAGGTAGAGACAGATAAAAGATTAATTAAAAATTAAAAAACAACAATTTAATTTAATATAATTTAAGTATAGTAAATGCACTCGGGGCACAGGAAGGTGGAGAACGTTTTACAGATGCTACACGACGGACCGTCAAATCGTTGGATAATCAGGGAGTCACACAAAACTCGAATAAAGTGTATAACCGACTGAACAGCTGTTTCGTCAATTTATACGTTCGTAGAAGTGGACTGTTGCTCGCCATCAGCGGTTCCCCACAAAACTGTTCCGCCTATCGGGTGGCCCAGAACTCTGAGGGTAATGGAAAAAAAAAACTGCTTGTACGCGATGCCAGACACAAGCGATCCGCTTTCAGCGACATCACCAACGGTCACTGATTCCATTGAAATCAAAAACACTATCCACGTGAGTACAAAAACAGAGCTCAGCTACAAACAAATTTCGGTTTTCTTATCGCTCAATACTTGGGCGACACTCTGCCGCACTCCTTTCAGGAACACATTTCCATTAAAATGTTCTGAAGAAATAACAGCTTTTACTTTTACGTAACAAAACTTTGTCAATAAATTTTCGCGTATTTTACCGTGTTTTAGGGCTGGGCCAAAGGTAATTGGCGTGAGCGTGACCTCTACAAACATAACGGACAAAAATTAAAATATGCAGTCCAAAGATAGTTTCATTCGTTGAGCATGTTCTCGGCCTGAATTGCCAAGGCCAACAATTTAAGCGCTGTACAACGTGCTTCGTTTGGCTCGTATGTATATATGTACATACATATGTATGTATGTAAATATATATGTACAACCATATTAATGTGCATACATACATATATTCGACATCGACATATGTACATACATACATATGTGCTTTTTTGTCTTAAGAATGTTGTGATCTCTTTCTGATTGCTTTCTGTGCTGGCATCACAAAAGTATGCATCTCAATTTGGTTGGTTCCTTACAATATACATATGGATATGTGTACTGGATAATTCAAGTCTAAATAGAAAGAGGTCCTAGTTCAGCCATGATCGAGGGCAATGCCACTCATCCAAAGGCTACTCCTATTATAGATTAACTGTTATTATAGATTAACCACGCCACTGCGCTTTGAGCTGGCTTGCTCACAACCTTCGAACATGCTGCGAGCCGGCTGGCTGCGTCTCGAGCGGGGCTTGACGGCACAGGAAAATCCTCTCTCAAAACTCATACTTCAAACGCAAAACTGAGTCTTGAGAGAGTTCGAACAAACCGAACCCGAACCTCTTTGTTATAGAATGTTATGGAGAAAAATGGCCAGCAACATTAACGGATCTGGTGTAGCTACGTAGCTCAGGGGACCCAAATATTAGGGGTCCCGGACTCTGACCGGCAAACCCTAAATTGTGCTAAAGAACATAATAAAATCGTAGGACCCCCCTTTTGGCTGCCTAGCTTCGCCACTGGCTATACGAACCTCTCCTCACCTGTTGATCTCTGTTATGTCTGTCCCAATCACAATAAGTACATATGTATGTGAGAAATAAGGTGAGCTGGGGCTTGCGGTACGTAGTATTTTGCAGGGCGTCTAACCTGTTGTCCATACCTTTTTTACGTAGCCGCAGTATACCTTCTGGCAACATGTAAACGATTTGGGCAACATTTTTGCAAGCAACATTGGGGGCTACCAGCAACATTTAAAGCGGGCGTATCTGAAATGCAAGGCCTTGCCGCCCCATTTACTCGGTTGGAGCTCTAGACGCTCCGGAGCGTTGTCGTGAACACGGTCAGCCAGAGCGGCAAAGTAACTCCATACGCAAAGATTCGTTCAACGTGTGTCGAAAAGCCGAAACGAACTGCAAAATTCGAGGCAAATCTGAGGAAAATAGCGAAAATTAAGCATAACGTAGATCCCAGAAATCTCTGGCTTGCTCTTTTTTTTTCAAGTGAGTGTGCGGGAAATATTTGTGAAAATTAATGTCACCGTTTTTTTTTTTGCTGTGCTGCAGAAATGTAAACAAGAAAATTGTGTCAATTCCACAGAAAAAATTTGTGCGAAATATATACTATACTAAACTAAACTAAATACTAAAAAAATATATACAAATGCAATTGAAAGAAAGAAACCGCAAATTAAGGCCACTCAAAGGGGCAGCCAGAAAAGGAAGTTTGGAGGCCAAGCCAAGCCAAGCCAAGCCAACCAACCGATTTGCCAGAAAGAAAGCGAACGAACGAACAGTTTGTTGTCGCTGCTGTTGTTGGGTCGGTCAGTGGCGGAGCGGCTTTCGCCACATTACGAGCAACTTCCTTTTTTAGCCTGCACACAAAACCAGTCTTGAAAAGCCCAGAAGAGAGGCCCCAGTACTCAGTCCCAACCCCGTCAACGACCACGACCACGACCACAACCAAGAGCAAGAGCAAGACCTAGGCGGACAGACAGCCCAAGTCCATATCCCGGCTTTGGTCCCGTTCCCGGTGTCAGATTCGGTCCGGTGCCATACCAAACATCAAAACGTAAACAAAACAGCAGAAAATGTGAGTTTGGCTGAAAGGATGAGGCCCCAAAGTGATTTGCAAGTCCTCTCCAGCAGACATCCTCAAGTGTGACTCAAGCAGTATCCCCGCCCCACACCACCCTCCGACGATGAACGTATTCTACTGGTGAAAGTTTCCCCATGCAAAACTTAGAATTCTCTTCATTTTGGGTTCTCTTTATTTTCTGCTTGATAAATGAGTCGCCGGCTGGCATAACGGAGCCCCAGCCCCCCAAGGCGGTAAATCATTTTCTGCTTGTGGCGGCACTGACAATTTCACAAATTTATATATGTACATATGTACGATTATTGTACATATTTGCCACAACTACAAAAAAATGAAGACCCTGAATAGACTAGGACCTCTTCGGGAGGCAATGGCATTCCTTTTCCCACCTCCGAGTCCGAGCAAAACAAAGATGGGATAATGGGGTAGCATACCGAAACAGCCGTAGCTTATTGTCGTTTGGCGAAAAGGTGGTGGCAACTGTTTCTAAGACCTCCAAGACTCGAAATAAAATGCCAAAACTATTCGGGCAATTATCGAGCAATTGGAAGATGCTCCTGACTCTGCTGTGGCTCTGCTCTGTGGCCAGAACAAACTTTATTTGAACGAGTTCTGATTTGAATTCTTGGCTTGTTTCACCTGTGATATGGAAAATACCTCTAGTGCTTGAAAGCAACCAGAGAGCCGCTGCATATTTGAACCGGTTTTAAGTTGTGGGAACTACTTTCCAATCTATCATCCAACCTCGAGCATCTTTCTAGAATTGTACTGTAAACAATGAGTGTTGTTCCAGCATAAATATCTGTTTTTTTAATGAAAAATGATTAAAAACATTCCATATAAGCTCCAGCTGAGCCATGTCAATAAGAGAAGAAAAGTTCTAGCCATATCTGGTGGATTATTAATGCGACAACAAATAGATAAAATTTGCAACAACAACAAATAGCTACGCCCAAATAAACTGTAAACAATGGGGCTCCCGCTTCTGCAGTTCCATTTCCAGACTGTATAATTCTCGAAGTTTTTCGATCCAATTATTCATCCAAAGCAATCCGACGGCCATCTAGACTATGCCAGGGAGATCAAATTGCATTATAGATATTCAGAAGCAAGGGGAGAGTCGACGTCGGCGTCGGCCCACTCCACGATCCAGCCCCAGCCCCCTGCCCCCGGCCCCCTTGCAGTGCCATGGATCTGTTGCTTCGCTCAGTGCCTGCCGGTTAATTTTCTAAGCTGTTGTCACTGATCGTTGAGCGTCGCAGAAAAATGTATATATTTATGTACATATGTATATATGTATGTATGTATGTATTATGTACATAGTATATGTATATGTACTGCTATAACTTCTATATACATACTT